AATAAAATACTAATTAATTTAGTCCGGTTGACAATACCGGCGATACAAAAGTTGTCTGGCGCCCTTCCATACCGGCGATCGTCCATAAGAATAAAAAGTTAAGTCGCACAGTAACGTTTTGCTTATTTTGTTATTTGATTTTTCTAAGATTTAAAGTAACATAAATTAAGTTTCAGAATCGAGTCACTTTGCATTAAAGTTTGAATCCAATTTTGCCAAGTTAGTAATTTTGATAATTAGAATTATTTGTCGTTTGTTATAATAAAATTTAAAAATCAAGTTTAAGAGTTATTTTAGAGTCAAGAAAATACGTTACAATACATATGTATAATGATAATTTTTATTAATTTTTGAAAAAATTCAAAATTTTCAAAAATTGTTAAAAATCAATTATTTTTGAAAAAAAAAATATTTTTCAGTGAATTTGAGTTAATATAGTTGAAAAATGCAAGTTCTAATGATTTTTGATAATTTTTATTAATTTTTGAAAAAATTCAAAATTTTCAAAAATTGTTAAAAATCAATTATTTTTGAAAAAAAAATTATTTTTCAGTAAATTTGAGTTAATATAGCTCTAATTTAACTTTTGAGCAAAAAGTGAAAGAAACGGAAATTAAGATGACGGCTTTATTTGTTGAAAATAATATTGCCTTCAGTTTATCTTCAGAGTTGATTAAATTTTTTCAAAGTTTAGATCTGACAAACATTGGCTTGTTCGTCATCATTGCATTGTAGTTATTCTTAAAAATTGGGAATTAATCATCAAATTTCTCATGCTTGTCGAATCGGAAGACAATACTCAAAAAGCGAAAAATTTACGTTAGTTGATGCAGGACCTGTTAACTTAAGCGTATTTTCTTTTCTTAAAATTCACATTAAATACCTTTAATTCTTTCAATGCCACGTTTCAAAAGCGTGAAACTTTGATACAGGAACTTCAGCCTCGATCAGCCGGTTTTTTATTTTGGATTTTGGAAAAATATTTAAAAAGTGCATTTCTTCAAACACCTACAATATTTTTTGAGTCAGTTAGAGCTATAAGGTTTGAAAAAACTTAAAATCAATAGGCAGTCGAAAATATTAATATTGGTAATGAAACGCGCGAATATTTAAATTTACAAATTTCTGATGGAAATTTGAATAATGATCAAGTTGACGATTTTTTTAAAAACGTTTTAGAATTTTACGTGACAGCAAGTTATGAAATAATCAACCGATTGCCTTTTGATGATCAGTTTCTTGCTTGCGTTTCAGTTTTCAAAGCACAAGAATTTCTTAAAGGTGACAGGGATTTAACGATTCAAAAAGTTTTCAAGATTGTATGTGATTTGAATGTGCAATTGGATATGTTTAAGTTACGTAAAGAATGGCAGGATGTGTATGATTTCCCTTCTGATGAAAAAGAAGAATTATCTAAATTATCTTTCGATGATATGTGTATCAAAATTTGTCTTTCTGCAAAAGGTAATGGTAGTTTAAAATTTCCGAATTTAACAAAAATTTTGAATTTAGTGAGGACGCTTCCCCATTCTAATGCTGAGGCTGATAGATCATTTTCCATGCTCAAAGAAGCAAAAACTAGTAAATGAAATCGTTTGGCGGTCGATACTCTTAATTCAATTTTGGTTGTCAGATTAGCATCAGCTCATTTACAATTAATGAATCAAAACATTTATACTTCTAATGTAGTTGATAGAAGGGCAGAAAAAGTAAGGTTATTTACAGTCCTTTAGGTATTTTTGTATTTCTGTATGGTGGATTAGGCCTGAAGCACTGTAAAGATGTGTATCTTGTTTTAAGACATACACTTTAATGACATTTTTTATTTTTTCTAGTCTTGAAAACATTTAAAAGATACAATTTTTCATGTTTTGGGGATACCACAATAACTATGTACATTTCAAAGCCAATATTTCTCTAAAATAATTTTTAGAAGTTTGCTTTGGAAAGTGCAATCTTTAAGGATTAATTAATTTTCACTTAAAAATAATCATGTTTTTTATCCACTAATTTTACAACTTATGCTATTTTCATTAAATAATATATTCAATTTCACAAACCGCATGAAACTTTAATTAGTCTTCAAAGAGAAAAAAAAACGCGCCACAAACTCTACCTCTAGGGTGGTTAGGAACCGAGTTTAATAATATATACACTAAAAAAATTTATTTGTTTAAAAAACAAAATAATTGTTGTTAGAATAAAATAAATTGTATTTGAGCCAATAATTTCCGTATTTGAAAGAAATACAATTTAATTCGCTAAAATAATATTTATTATTCAATACAAATAAACACTTTCATTATAATAAAAAGTAATCAATTATTTGAAACAATAAATTTGTTTTTTTAGTGTAATTTAATTATATGTTTAAATGTTAAAAAAGAAATTTTTATTACTACTTTTATAAAAAAAGTTTAAAATTGTTCAGTTACTACTTATAATAACAATCGTCTATTTACTACATTATTATAATGTTATTGTTAAAGACGGATGTTGATTAACAAAAAAAATAAAATAAAGTAAAATAAATTTTGAAGAAAAATAATAAGATTAGAAACAACACTAATTTTTATTATTAACAACCCGCTTATTCGGTAAGCGTAATTGCTCTTCGCTACACAAGATAGAAAAAGGTAGTGGACTGTTGCTTAGAGTGTTATCTATTCAACACCCCCGGGTAGACGGTATTTCGTTGAAAATGTTCACAAAGAAAGAAATGAGATAACACAAATAAAGGTGATTAAATAAATTGAGAATTGAATTGACATAAAATAAGGTAACATTTATTCATACAACCCCCAATAGAAAATACATGCAAAACCCCAATTGATCTTTAAATAAAAAATGATTACAATGGAAAATACTGCTACGTTAAACTACTTGAATTGATAATTCAAGTCTCACAAAAATCATATATTATGAACACAAACAAAAGATCAATAATGAGTGTAGGATTTTAATAACAACAGCAAAAAATTAATTCGTGTAAATGAAACAAGTGTAATAGTGTTGGTTTTATGAGATTCTGTAATTTCCAAATTATGAATATAAATTCAAGACAACTCACCCAAATAATAATAACTAAAATGATACCGAAAAGTATCAAATTACTTTCTCACTCTCAGAAGTAAAATTGTTATCTGTCATATGAATCTGCAGTATGCGGAAGCTATCTTTCCACCTTCGTTTATTTTTATATATTTTCTTTTATCAAACTTGTTTTTGTTAATTGCCTTCGGACAATTATTTCAATATTTCAATTTCTGTTTATTAAAAATTCAGAATATTGGGTCACAAAATCTGAATTTTCTGAACAGTAAACTTGAAATATAAACAATTGCGAATATATAATAAATACTTTAGACAAGAAATGGATTCTTTACTTTAACAATTAGACACTTTATACTTTTCAGATAATCTTCTTGATTTTAATGAACTTTTATGTACTCGTCGACTTCACAGATTGTGGAATAAACACTTATATTTTTAATAAATAAAACTCGATGAACTTCAACCCTTACTATGGGGAATAAATGATCCTCTCTACCACTCTTAGTGGGAGTTAAACTTTAATATTCATCCGCTCCTTGGCGGGAAATACATCCGCTCTGCGGGAAAAACAAATTAAGACTCCTCGAATAATAATTTGGTGGCAACGATCACACCCATTTGGTATATAATTTTAGGTGGTGGGAGGGTTGATTTTGCAATCAACACCTCGTTGTTTCCATGCAAGTTTTAGCAAAACTTGCATTTTAATCGTGGCGTGATCGGTTCAACCACCTTTATTATCGGTATACTTTATATGTTTCCTCATTTTCCCAAAATAATGTGGCAACTCTTTGCAGTGTAAGTCCCACAACTTGCGAAATCGACTGTTAATTTAGTTTGAATTATTTCGCAATATGAAGTTCAATAATCTGAACTCATTTGCGAAATAAACTTTGATTTAGAAATTAAATAAAAAATGAATTTATAAATATTTATTGAATTAATTAGAAATATTATTTAACTATTCTAGTGTCTGAAACTTAGTATGTGTGTGTGTTGTGTGTTGTATAGACGTATGTATATAATTGACAAATAGTTGTAACGTTGATAATATAAATATTATTTTTAATAAATAATATTTATCGCCTAAAAAAATTTAAAAATTACGGAAATCCGTCCGTAACAAATACCCCCCTTTATTCTGGCTGACGTCCCTTGGCAGCCTGTGTAGGTGTGATGTCATCTATTTATAATTTTTTTTTTACAAAGGGTCCTTTAGTGGTTTTACATTTTTTAAATGTTTACAAATTGTCCAAGAACGCAAAATGTTGTATGTTGTAGATTAGCTGAAAAAAAAGAATCTAACGAGAACTGATTTTCCTTTTATAATGATAAATAGTCGTTTCCTCTTTTTTTTTGTTTTAGGAAGATTTTTAGGGATAGATCAAATAAGTTCTCGTCCTTAAAAGAAAAAAAAAATGTTGTGCGTGTAGACAGAAATAATAAAAAAAAACTGATATTTTTCTAAAAAAAAAGAGAAATAAAAGCATAAACTCAAAATCAGCAAATTATTAAATTTCATTGTTTTGATTACGTTATAAATTGGTATTTATGAAAAAAAATATTAGAAATTTTTTTGTTAAGTTTGGTTAATTTAAAATTATTATATAATTATCAATTTTAATAGTTTACTAATTTTGCTCAAGTTAAAAAAAAATAACACATAAATTCAAGTGTATGGAATGTATTTTAAAATAATTAAAAAGAAAAATGAAATATTGACTCTTGATTTCTTTTCCAAAAAAAAATGTGTCATATATTTCAATACGTATCCATACATATATATATTTTGTTGATGAATGCCCCCAAAAAAATGAAAATAATTGATAGCTGTTTTGTTTCAAATTATAGATAAAGAAATTAAATGAAAAAATTTATAGCTATATATAAATATATATATAAAATAATAATACAAAAATATGTTGGAGATAAAGTATTTTAAAAAAAAATGTTCTCCAACCCCTAACCCTCTCTCTTTTCTTGCTGTCGTCCCTTGACAGCTCTCTTTTTTTTTTTTTTAATGAAGGTGAGAAAAAGGTTAGTAGAAATGAATTTGATTCACGTTATATATTATTCATACTAAAAAAAAATGTGTCGCATTTTTGTATTATATTTTATGTAAAAATTGCTGATCCTCTTTTATTTTTGTTAGTTTGCAGAAAGTGTTTCCTTTAAGTGTTCGTTTATATTACGTGATCAGTCTTTCTATAGTCTTTCTCGAGTTCTAAGCTATATTACAAAATTTTGTTTCATTTGTTATTTGTTTGAAGTTTCTTTGTGCAATTTTTTTAACAACTTATGTCTTCCCAATCTCTTTCTTTCGACTCTTATATGATGGCCCTTGAATTGGCTAGGAGTGGCGTGGTGGATGTGGCGGGTTTTTTAGTTTGGAAGAGGTTCGAGCTGGAGAAATTGCAGTCAGATAAAGTGTTGAGTGGCTGACGTGGGTATGTATTTTGTTTAATTACTTCCTTTCCTTTTTTTTTTTATATAAAATGTTTTACGTTTATTTAATTGTGATTTTACTTAAAACAAGAAAAATTTGTTTTAGGGTTCAAATTTTTATACCTGAGTGGGTAGATGCTCCAGTTAGAAACCCTTCTTTCTCTAAATGGCCCTTGGATTCGGTGGGTATGCGGAAAGCAGTTAAAAGCGATGTGGGGGAGGTTATTTGGCACCAGGAGTACCGTTGGAGTTGGGATGCAAAAAAAATATCAATACCGTGGTTACTGGGCGCCAGCATCCTTTCAACACCCCACCTTGTGCACAGTTCCTGATACCTTGGAAATTGAGGAGATTCAGGGCTGTTTGGGTGTTAATATCTCCAATTAGTGAGTATTCTGAATTTATACATTTGTAATTTTGCGTGAGTTAATATACATAAAAAAATAAAATTTTAATTCTTAACGTAAATGTCTTCCCCTTTTTTTTGTAGTCCTTATTCTCATTTACCCGCTTTTCCGAGGACTTATGGGCCACGTCCTACTGATCCGGCATTAGAATTAATCTTTTGTCAAAGATACCGAGAAAAGTGGGAAGATTTTGTTTTAGTGGGCAGTAGGTGGGAGACGGTAAGTTCCCCCACTTTTTTTTTTGCTTTACAAAATTTTGTTAAAATAAAAAAAAATAAAATGTTTTTCTCTTTTGTTTTGTTTTTTTCAGAGATGGGCTTTACGCATGCCGGTCATCTGGCATGAGTGCTAATTTTAGTTATTTATTTATTATTATTATTATGTATTGTATTTTAAAAAGAAATTCCGCTTTTCCTTAATAATAAAAAAAATCTTTCACGTTTTTAGAATTAAATATAACATTAATTAATAAACAATATTGAGTTTTTATTGTTGATTTTAATAAAAATTAATAATTGCACTGTTCGTCTCTTTTTTTTTGTTCTATACCCCCTTTTTTTTTTTTTTTTTTTTTAAATTAAACAACAAAAAAAAATTTTTTAAATAAATAAAAGAACGAAAGTTCGTTTGTTTTCATGGTTAGTGTGCTGTTAAAGGTTGTGGTTATTTTTACTATATATCTTTTCTTTTAGTAAAATTTATTAATATATATTAAAAAAAAAAACGATAGGTTTTTCAATAATTTTTTTTTGAATAATATCCTTATAAATAAATAAATAAAAAAAAATACGCAAAAAAAACTTGTTGTCTGATAATTGAAATATCTTTGCCGCTCTCTTTTATTTTCTGTGCTACCTATAGTACTTGCGTACTTATGGTAAGCCATTAGGCTTTACATTGTTCAGCAATTAATCCTCGCGGTGGCAGCATCTTGCAGCCCGTCGCGGTTTCCTTCCCCCTTCGTTTCTACCTCCTTCTAATCCCTGTTTCTTTTTCCATTGTTTCGTTTCCGCGCGGTCCTAGCGGCACGCAATAATTATATCGCGTTTCATTTTTTTCTTTTCGTTTTTTTTTTATTTTAGTGATTTGTGTGATTTTTTTGGTGTTTGTTCTCTCCCTTTTTTGACAGTGTAAAGTGGTTAAAACAAAGTGTATGTGTAGTGTATTTACTCTAGGTCCGCCCTTCCCCCCTTTTTACTCTGTTTTCTTTTCTGTGTTCGATTCGAAGTGTTTACTGCAAAAAAAAAATTTTTTTTTTTTGGATTACGTTGGATTATTTGTTTAACTTGTGTTTCATGGATTAGTTCCAGAATTACAACATCGGTAAGTCTCAACAAATAATCCTTTTCATATATCTCCTTCATATATTTTTTATATTGAGTAATTACCAATTTTAATTTATATTTGAAGTATAAGTATAATTTAAAATATTTTCATTTTTTCCTTTTTTATTCTTTTATATTTTTCTTTTCTTTCCAACTTATTCTTTCAGCTTTTGCTGAGTTTTTTTTTTTTTTTTGATAAGCCGTCTCTCTCGCGTGTCAAATTTCCCGCGGTCTTTGCGAGGTTGCCATGTTTAATCTTTTTCTTTTTAATATATTTTGAATTTAACTCTCCCCAAAAAAATTCTTTTTATTTCTATTTTTTTTTATATTTAATGTGATATTACCCCATCGCAATATCTAATATTACATCTATTATTTTATACAACATTCCATCATCCATATAATTGAATTATTCAGATACGTCATTTAATTATTCTCTCTTTTCCTTTTTTTTTTTATATATAAATAATTTTGAATGTGAATTTATTAAAATATGAATTTTAAATTAATTTTTTTGAATCGTTGTGAAATTATTTTATTCAAACTTATTGATATCTTTCAAAATTTTAATTGATTCTTGGATAAATCTTTGAATTGAATTTTGTTTTAAAATAATTAAAAAAAAAATGAAAAACTTTCGTTATTATAATTATTAGTAGGGAAAAAAATTTTTTTTTTAAATATCAGTATTTCTTGTGGTTAAAAAAAAATCGTAAAGAAAAAAAATTAGTCAAATGATATTGGCCTTGTAGTGGGGTTCCGCGCTGAACGCGTTGAGTGTAAGCTCCCCTCGCGTCCCTCGACCTTGTGCGAGAGAGAAAGACACTGCGTGCTGCAACTCCCCGTTCACTCTCTCTCTCTCCAATGCACTTTGCTCACAACCTTCTGTCCTCTCTGTTTTCTCATTGTCTTTCTCTGTTACTCTTATGCCTAATGTATGTGTGGCTTTATATTATTTCTCTCTTAGTTTTTAACGTCGTTTAGCGGCATTTATTTTATATCTTTTTATTCTTATATTTTTTTTTTTTTTTTTTTTTTTTTTTTTTTTTTTTTTTTTTTTTTTTTTTTTTTAAATTAACTCCCCAAAGAAAGATGCATTACCCTTGTTAGTTCTATCCCTTGATTAATATAATATATATTTTTTCTCTTTTTTTTTTTAAATGTCATTTAATCAATTAATCAATTAATTACTTAACCAACTCAAATTAATAACTACTTAAATCAATAATAATCAAATGTTGATTATTAGTTAATAATTAATTGTTCCCTCCCCAAAAAAAACATACTAATTATATTTTAAACTTATAGTTTCTTAATTTTTCTCCCCTTTTTTTTTTAGTATTATGAGTTCCCCTGCCTCCGGCTCCAGTGATTTGGAGTTTGTTTCCCTTACTCGCCGTGAGGTCATTGTTTGGCCCGAGGTAGAGATTGATTCCACTTGTAGTGCAATCAGTGACGCCTCTACTCTACCCTTACTCACTAGTACCCAATCAGTGACGCCTCTACTCTACCCTTACTCACTAGTACCCGTAAGTGTCTATAACTACCCCTAAAATTTAAAAAAAAAATAATGTTTTGCATAAATTTTTTTTTTTTTTTTTTATTTCATTTATTTAATTTTATTTAGTTTTTTTTTTTTATATATTTTTTTTTTAAAAATATTAAAAAAAATTTTCTTTCTAGCCGTCCAAAGTGAAATACCGGACACTCCTGCTTCCCCTGATCCTGTATTTGAGGCGTATTTTGACGCCCATGCACGACCTTATAGCCCAGGTTAGTAGCCTCCCAAAAAAAAATATATTTTTATACCCCTATATTTTACCCCGTCCTCAATTTTTATTGTAAAAAAAAATTTTTCCTTTTTTTTTTTCTAGCCCCCCTTTCTACTGGTGTTGAATCCGTTGGATCTCGCTTGACACGAGCCAGCTCCACCCAGACCAACCCCTATTTTCCGGAGGGTTTACCTTTGGAAGGTATTAGCTTATTTTTATTACTTCTAGTAATTCAGTTAATGTATGTATGTAAAAATTATAACTTTTTCACTACCCCCTCCTTTTTATATATATTTTTTTTTTTTTTTATTTTTTTTTTTTTTAGAACCCCCTGCGGCTGACGAGCAAGTGGTCCTGCAGCTGATCGCTCAGCGTAGAGTCTTAGCTGATGGTACCATCCGAACGGAATATCGGTGGGCTGGTCCTAATTTTTATTAAGTAAGTTTACCCTTGTCTATTTCTAATTCGCCCTGTTCTTTTTTTTTTGTGGCGTCAGCTTTAAAGTAAGTATATATTACAACCGTAATTTTTTTTTTATGAATGTAATTCTAATAATGTGCTGATTTTATTATTGTATATATATGTATATCTGTATGTTTTTTTTTGTTGAATACCCCTTTTTCTTTTAGAACCCATTTTTACATTACTTGTTGACCTGCAACTGGGCTAATAAGATGCTTTTCCCTACTCAGCGACAAACATCTTAATTGTGGTTGTTTATACCTAGTTGCGCGTGCATAAATATGCATTAGTGGCAGCTAATATTTGTAAAAAAAAACAAAAATCCTATATATATAAAAAAAAACATATATTTCCCCCCCTTTTTTTTTTAACTTAAATCTATTTTGTTAGTTCTTTCCCCTTTTTTTTTTAAAAAAAAAAAATGCTACTATATACAACTATATACCCAGAAAAAAAATATATATATTGGATCAACCCGATCTATGTTATTATTGGTTTAAAAAAAAAATGATTATTTTTTTTTTTCTTCTTTTTAATGGACTTTTACAACTGGGCACATTACGGTTCTTCTTTTTGGTTTTGGTGTAGGTGTCCCTGAAGTTAATACTTGAATAGATTCTGAAAAGCTGGCTGTAGCTTCTTCTTTTGTGGATGTCGTAACCTTTGTTTGATTTATTTCGGCTGGAATGTCTTGGGATAAATCTCTTAGTGGTACTTCATTTGTTTTGTCCTTTCCATTCAGGATATTGTTTATGGTTGTGGATCTTTTCTTACAAGTAATCATAATAATTATCGCTGTTGCTAAAATTGCTATTGTGGTGACCGTGCCCTAAATTCCTATCATTATTGGGGAATACGTCTCATTGAGTTTTTGGTTCAACACACGTTGGCTTTGTTCTTCGAATTCTTTCTCTAATAATTTCAGTTTTTCGTCTGAATCCGACTTTTTCCATGAAAAGAATTTGTTGTCGTTTTCTACTACTACAACCTTCCGACCTACATCTTTCAGTATCAATGATACATTTTCTAACTTCAATTCGAGTTTGGGTTTATAAAGATATCTATACGGATTCTCTTTAATTTGAAGACTCGGCAATTCTATAGTATCTAACTTAAGAACACATTCTCTCGCCACATGTACAATTCCTATACCTGCCAAAGTATAAGCTTCGGCTTCTCTCTGTGGGCAATTCAAATACACTATTTCCGAATGGATAAGAGAGTATAACCAACTACCTGTTGTGATCAGTGGTTCCCAAAGTGGTTGTTGATTTTTAGTGAACCTGATGTCACAAATTTTTAGGGTTTCGTTGCTTGGATTTCTTCGAGGCTCGGCCTCACAACCCGGTACTGACAGAATATCGTAAACTCCATGCATGTGATAACATATGTATTTATCTTCTATCTGCTTGCAGCTTTTAAGTTGTTCCTCATTTAGATAAAAATAATACCTTTCATCGCTTGTAATTGCTAGATATTTTGCATATGCTGATATATAAGCTCTAGTTCCGTTCTCTCCTGACTCTTGTAAAACCGGCACTTCATGCATCTTATATAATGTGTAAATTCTTTCTTCCACCAGAGGAATATCTAAGGTTATAATCAAATTATTCTCGCTAGTGTGTATGTCTGTTTGTGAGATTCTATCCACATCTGAAAGTGTTATATCGTCTATAGGTACCGGAAAGTCCACGCCCTTCAAATACTTCTTCGCCTCTGTTGCTATGTTTACTAGTTGTTCGTCTGTTAACAATTTAGGTGACAATTTTCCTTCTTTCGCCTTATACATTATATCAAGTGTTTCACTTAGACTGTGTTCGTAAATCCCTATTTCGCGGTTCCAATTTTCAATGGCATTCCTAATATTGTTCAAATAAGCTTCGTGATCCAATTCCTTTCGTAAACGTAAAATTTCATCCTCAAACGCTCTTAAATTTTCCCTGAACTCTTGCGATTGATTGTGTTGTTTTTCGGCTATGTCATACATTTTGTGTAATTCCGCTCGGACTACATGTGTTTGTTCGCCCATTAGATGAGAAATATTCCTTTGAGCTTCATTGAGTTCTGACATAACCGCCTTATAGTTTTCTCCTTCTTCGTAGGTTAAAACTCCGATCGTGGGGCCTATCAGTTTTCCTAGTATCCCGATTAATGGTGCACTTCTTTTGTTAATTCTGTTATTTAGGAATTCTCGTTTTGTTGACTCCGAATGTTTTAGGGCTTTGATAACCCTTTGTACTTCTTTCCAGTGCAATCTAGCTATTTCCAACCTATTTTTCAAGCCTTCCGTGTCCGCGAAGTGATGACAATTACTGCCCAATATTTTCCTACATGGCTCGTTAGATCCCATTACGTGTTTTTCGAAAATTGGTAGTTGGTTTAAGAAATCTTCCATGTCTAAGACAATGGCTGTTCTCCAAAACCTGGTGGTTCTTAGTACTGTGGATATTCTTTCATAATAAATGCCTGAACTTTTGTTCATTGGTATTATAGTGATGCCTGAATTTTGTCCTCTGACTGCTAATAAGATCCCGGTTAGAAATAGCGCTATCCCCTTCATTTTCGGCTGTGATTCTGCAACCAAAATTTTAAACTAACGTTTAGTTAAATTTGCTAATCTATTGGGTTTGGGCAGAAACCGTCTTTCTATTCTATAGCTAGTTTAGCTAAACTATCGGCTTCTTCGTTGCCTTTAATTCCACTATGCCCTGGTTCATAAATTAGTTCTACTTTAATCCCTGTTATATTGTCGTTTAGTTTGCTAAATATTTCTTTACTAACTACAGTTTTCCTTCTATTAGTTTTCCACCCATTTTTCTGCCATTTTGGTAACCAGCTCAGGTAACCATCTATCGCAAACTTAGAGTCGGTGTGTATCCTGACTTTGCATACCCCTTTTTTCTTTAATATGCTAATTGTTTTCACGATAGCTTCTATTTCTGCTCCATTATTGGTTTGTTTTATCTTCGCTTTTTCACTGACATTGAGAGGATGTTGTTTATTGAACCATATTCCTATACCTGCTCTCGCTGATTCTTTGCCGTTAGCTTTACAAGCCCCGTCGGTAAAAACATGTATGAAACCTTCCCTATCTTCCAGAAATCCTGCTTCGTTTTCTAGTCATAAGTACGCCTTTTTGACTTGGTCTTTGTGTTTTCTAAACCTTTTTCCTTCAGCGTCGCATAGAATTAAGTTGCTATTCTCAGTGATGGAAATAACTTCGTAGGGTCCATGATAATAAGGTTCAAACTTTCCTGCTCTGACCTCTTCTTTTACATCTACTACATCACCTACTTTTATATCCAACGGTCTAGCTTGTTGGTCATAAAGCTCTTTTGATTTAATTTTAGCGTCTATTATATTTTTTGCCGCTAGCCTCCTGATTTCAATAAGCCGCGTAACTAATTCTTGCAAATAGGATTCGTACGTTGCTAACTTCTCTTCTGTGGGAAAAGATGTGGGAATCCTTGCCTTTTTCCCAAATACTACCTCATAAGGTGTGAATTTAGTCGCATTATGTACTGAGGTATTGTATGCTAACATCGCAAAGGGTAATAAGCGATCCCAATCGTCGTTTGAATTAGCGTAATGTCTAATGTATTCTGCTAATACGGCATGGCTTCTCTCTAGGGCACCATTCGTTTGTGGATGATAAGCAGTAGTGGTTATTTGTGACACTTTAAAAAGTTTGGCTAATCATCTCATTAAATTGCTGGTGAACATTCTACCCCTATCTGTTAGGATGGTTTTAGGTGCTCCATAAATTGAAAACAAGTGCGTTGCTAGAGCGTGAGCTATTGTCGTCGCACTTATGTCTGGGACGGGTATAAATATGCAATATTTGCTTAACTGGTCTTGCATAGTCAATACGTGACAATTTCCATCCGCCGTAGTGGGTAATTTTCTTACCGTATCTAGGCACACTTTGTCGAACGCTTCTAGGGGTGTATCGGTTATGAGCATTGGTTCTCTATTTTTTGTTCGTATTATCTTTCTTTGCGCGCAACTTCTACATTTTCGGATATATTCAGTAATATCTTGTTTTAATCCTGGCCATGTAAATTTTTCTCTGATTCGCTGGTACGTTTTGTTTACCCCTTTATGACCTGCTATTAAACTGTCATGGTATTCTGATATTATTTTCTCGCGATATTCCTTTGTGGGAATGTTTATTTTTCCGTAGCATAACTTAATTTCGATTTCACTGCTGAGAAATGTTGTTACTAACTTTTCTATACCTTTTTCACCCCATTCATCCAATAAGTCACCATAGCGCGACACCCTGAATCTTTTTATTCCCTCTTTGATTAAAATGCCTTTAAGATTGTGCAAAGCGAAATCTAAATCCTCTTCGTTTATTTTTTGATCGCATTTTTCTGTTATAATTACGGTGAAAGTCCTATATTTCCCTTTTGGCGTAATTAGAACCTGTCCTACCCTCGGTTTGCTACTTTTTATTTCCTGCAAATCTATTCTTCCTGTCGCTATCAACAACTTAATCGTTGGTGTAGATGGCTCTGCATCTGCTGACATAAAATGAACATAATTGTCCCTATTATTCGTTAATGGTCCTCTATCATAGGTTAGAACATTCAACCTATCTAGTTCAAATTCCTTTTCATCTTGTTTCGTATTTTGGAAAGGAGGTTCTCGAACGTCAATGTGGGGCACCGCTATGTTTATCCCAGGTTTGAACCTTATCTTATTTTTATCAGGCACCCTTTTTACTTCGTTCGTTATTATTTTACGTGGAACCACTCCCTTTTGCCTAGGCTCTATTTCTAAATCGTCTAACTCTGATTCTTCCCGAATCGGGTTAGGTACATAGGGGGTTGATTGAGCATTAGGTCTCGCCCTTGAGATGGGGGTGTCGAAAGTGACTGTTTTCTTACTACTTATAGCGTCTTTTACCGAATCTCTAGTTTCTTTTTCTAAATTGCTATTCTCCGAAGTGCTTTTGTCCGGTTGATTTATTT